ATTGTTTCAACACTACTCTGCTCAAATTACATTAATCCACTGCTGTTCTGAGTCAAATAAGAAATCTTGAGATTCAAACTAAAATTATTAGTCATATATTTCATCTTGTATCAATGGTTGACACTAGTAGTAGTAGTAGTAGTAGTAGTAGTAGTATTTTCTATTTTCCTCTCTCTGCCTCTTTCCTCTCCAGGCGGATGGTACCAACCAGGAGGACTATGCCAGCTACATCATGAACGGCATCATCCGGTAGGGCGACCCAGTGTCAGCGGCCTTGCAGGATGGGGAGCTGCTGGTGCAGCAGACAAAGAACAGTCATCGCACACCTCTGGTCTCTGTGCTACTGGAGGGTAAGTCACACACTGACCTCGTGCAGCTCATCGCCAAACATTGTCAGTCTGGATCCTACAGTTAAACACCCAATAAACCCAGAGACCCTAACATAACAGCAGCCTGTGTGAAAGCTGTCAGTTGTGCTTAACTAAACTCTGACAGTCTGGGAAAATGATTTGCATTATGACAAATAATTATTTGTGATTGTTCTTTAATCTCAGGCCCACCCAACAGGAGGAAGACAGCACTGGCAGCTAAGACCGCTGAAGACTCCCAGTTCCCCTTTATTAAGATCTGCTCCCCTGACAAGGTGATTGGATACTCTGAGAGCGACAAATGTCAAGCCATCAAAAAGGTAACACAAGCAAATGGAGTGGAGATGTGAGACTGGGCCAAGCTGCTGAGTGTTTACTCTTTGTTTGGGTGAGGGTAATGTTAGAAATTAACCCGATTCTTTTGTTGGAAGCACGAGAAGTGAAGACAGGAGAGGACTGTTTAAAATCAACAAAATTTACTGAAAGTCTGATCACAGGTAGGCCTTACAGTGCTGGGATCAGAGGGACAGAGCTCCCGCAGGAGTTTCGTCCGCTGAAACCCCGATTTAAGTTCTTACAATACATTTTATCTTCTTGGGCTGCTCCGCCCTGGACAGGGGTGCAACCTTCAGTAGTTCGTGATAACTCTGCATTTAACCAGAAGAGAATAAATCTACTTAGCTGATTCCTGTCTCCTGAGTGTTACTTCTTGTGGCCTTCAGAATAAAAGAACTGGGTAATTTTAATAATCCTATTGGTCATTTGGTGTGAGCCGGAGCTCACACTTCCATGTTGGAATATAGTAAATCAAGGTGTGGGTGGGTGTGTGTGTGTGTGTGTGTGTGTGTCAGGTTGTAGCCCCCGGCCTCTGCAGGACATCCCAAGACAAAGCAAAGCTTGGGATATCCTAAGTGGGTCGAGGTGTGAGTGTAAAACAGGCCTTTGCTAAAATGTAAATAGGCTGTCTGGTGACAAGGAGATGCAGGTGTCTCCTCCCTCACCAGAAGTTACAGTGTTCAAAGTAAGCAGATTCTGCTTGATTCTCATCAATACAATTGTAAGATATATAAGCAAGGAAAATAAATGTATTAAGAATAACCAAAGCTCAGTAGTTCTGGACAATCATCAATACAGCTGTAATATGTATAAACAAGGAAAATAAAGTTATGAAAGGTAACTAAGGGGAACTAAAGGTATGAGAAGTAGCTAAAGCTGATAAAGTAACTAGAGTCTATAAGACTCAAATCTTACAGTAAAGTGGAAAGGCAGCTTTAATAGTATGTAGTTGTAAGGTACTGTAGCTTTAGGGCCAGAGAATGGGCCCAGCAGGTTTATGACGGCACAGCCCGACACCCACTGTGTGGCCCAGTGATTGGTTAGAACATTAGCTAGCCTGAATACTGGGCTTCCATAGGAATGGTCAGCTAACCTTCGGCACATTTAACTGGTATCAATAACTGTTGGCTCCTTTCCCTTTCCTCAGATTGAGACTGGTCTGTTATTGGTGAATAGTGTGGTGATTTTTCAAGTCTGAGGCCTCATCCTGTCATGATCCTGCCCCGTCTGCTTCCGGGATCCTGCTTTTTGGTACCGCTTCCTGTCATCAGCTCATCCACAACCCCGGTAACTTCATCTCATCATGCACATTGGTTTCACCTGCCACTAATCACCCACACCTGTTCACCACTCTTTTTTGATCGCTTTGAGTTCTCCCTTTCTTATCGCCCAGGGCATAAGAATGGCAAGGCAGACGCACTGTCCAGACAGCACAACAAGGAGGAAGAAGAAGACCCGGGAACCCGCCTACATCCTGCCACAAGCTGCTCGCCTTGGAGCCGTACAACTCGGCATTGAGCAGGAGGTACTGACCGCCCAGGCAAATGACCCCAGCCCGTCCACATGCCCACCAGGTCGGTTGTTCGTACCTGCATCCATCAGAGCTCGAGTGCTCCAATGGTGTCACACATCCCGGTTCTCTTGCCACCCGGGCGTGGCCCGGACCTGCTATGTCGTCCAGCGACGTTTCTGGTGGCCAACGCTACGGGACGATGTCCGGGAATTCGTGAACGCCTGCCAGGACCGTGCCAAGAACAAGACCTCATTCAGCAAACCCTCTGGACTCCTGCACCTGCTTCCTATCCCCTCAAGACCTTGGACCCACATCGCCCTAGATTTCTTCACTGGCCTGCCACCCTCTAAAGGTAAAACCACCATACTCACAGTCGCTGATCTTTTTTCTAAAATGGTTCACTTCATTCCCCTGCCCAAATTACCTTCTGCCAAAGAGACTGCACAGCTCCTGCTCCAGCATGTTTTCCGCCTACACAGCCTGCCCAGGGACATGGTGTCGGACCGGGAACCCCAGTTTATAGCACGCTTCTGGGCTGAATACTGCTAGGGTCTTGTGAGGAGTTGTTGGAAGTCTTTGGCATGCGTGAGCAACTGCATGTGGGTGTATGGTTATTAGCCAGTGTTGTGGTCCTGGCCTGTTGTCCCCCTGGCCTCAGGCACCCTTTTGGGCCCAGCACTTTACAACCCCAGAGGATCACTGCAACCAGGCATTCAACACCAGGCCCCGCACCACTTCAAGACAGAATTTCTGATAAACACCACTGGTAGTTCAGAGTTCATTGTAAAGTGCCACGCTGGAAGAGAAAATCTGTAATGTATTCTGACAGACAAATCTAGTTTTCCATTGGGGTGGGGCATGAACTGCAATGCATTTTCATTCCTCATTCGCACTGTCAGCTATATTAAATGCGTAAAATGTCCCCAAAATGACAAATTGCCACAAGATTACAATGTCAGTCAAACGCATGCCCATATCACAAAGTTCTACTAAAACCTTCCAGAGTGCAGGATCTGCTGCCATCCTGTGGTGCACATCAGCATTGCAACAACTAAGTACTAAGTGTAGCACTGCTGAACTGGCTGTGGGCTAACTGATCCACTCTGATATACAAATGAAACTGTTAAATATCTGGGCCTCCACATTAATCTATACTAAAGTAACTATTAAAGCAGATCAACACTAACTTGATATTTCTATACTTGAACCTGTACTAAACAAGAACTCCAGTGAAAGGATAATCACCTTTATTGGCCAAGTATGTTACACACAAGGAATTTGTTTCTGGTACGGAAACCAAGGCAGCCATCCCATTGGGGACAACTTTGGGGTTCAGTGTCTTGCCCAAGGACACTTCAACATGTGGACTGCACGCACCGAGATTTGAACCTCTGGCTGGGAAACAACTGCTCCACCCACTGAACCACAGTCACCCCGAAAGAAAGGAACTACAACACAGAACCACACACACATTGACTGACACAGTGCAGCCCAGGAAAACCTAATAACTGATGCTGCATGTGGATTTACATACGAGGCACAACAGGTACGCATCAAATACACAGTCTTATCAAACAGACCAACCTAAAGCCCTCCCTCCCTCACTGATTCTGAGTCACACACACACTGTGGACCTGCTGTAATCTATTATAGTGGAAGCAGCTTATCTATTTGACCTTTTGTCCAAGATGTTTATGAAACCTTATTAAACTGTAGGCAGGAGCTCCCTGCTCTGAAGAATAGACCGTCTCTCTATTCCCACTTTGTGTTTCTGTGTTTGTTGCTGACAATACTAGTTCATTAATGTAAAATGTATGACTTTTCAGAAAATCAATGGATGTCAGTCCGTTATCTCCTAAATCTAATGACACCAATCAATGCTGTGGGGAGACTGCATGTGGAAAAGGACAGAGTTGGGGTGCCCAGATAATCATCTGTTGTCCTAACGTAAAAGGGCTTACGACCAAAGGAGGCCTTTTTTATAATATATAGGGTGTGGGCTGTAGACTGTAAAACATAACAAAATGAAAAATAAGGGAAATGTACTGGAGATATTTTAAGCAAAAACATGCATGGATGTATATACCAGATGCACTGTCTTGTAAACTGCTCTGTGCATTCTGTTGATATTTTCATATCACTGATTTTGCAGAGAATTTGTTTATTTGTTAGGCTTTGTTTCACCAGGGGAAAATGGTCCTTTGAGCTCAGGGACCTCTTGTTTTAATTGTGCCCTGGCAAGACTGTTACATAAAAATCCAACCAAGAATAGTATATAGATCACTATAATAAACTACTTAAAAACAATTAGGAAGGAAAAGAGGATTATAAGCAATGTAGGATTACAGAATTTAAAAAAATTACAGCATTTGCATAATATGTTACAAAGTATTTACAGACAATATTATAGCAAATATTTCAGCTTCTGTGCAAAAACGGTATCAGATTTTGATGTGTGCTGTTATAAAGGTGCTGGGAGCTGGATCATTTCCCCACATATCTGATAGTAGATGATCAGCTGACACATGTAGGCAGATCTCTACTAACCTTCATCTGCTGATGACACAAGGGTTGTTTGGATCCAGCCCTCTGCCTTATCCTCTAGGTGCTCCTGCACTCAGTCTGCTCTTTCCACTAACGGGGATTTTTGGATGTGCCCATTTCTGGTCCCCCCTTTCTGTGTAATACCTAGTTAAGCTCTGCTTCTTTTTTATTGGAGACACTGGTAGCTGTGTGCATTGTTTTGCTTATTTTACCTTTTATTTCGACTCAAAGAAGTTGGAGGTAGCTTGTTTAGGGCAGCGTTGGACTGAGGCTGGGGGCTCTAGCTGAAGAGGGAGAAGACAAACATTTGGGAGGAGGATAAAAGAAACATGACTGTTCAAAAGGAAGATGTGGAAAAGTTTCTCAAAGAGAATCCTGCATTTGCACAACAATACTTTGCCAAGAAGTTGAGCCCTGACTTCATTTCAAAGGTGTCAGGGCTCCAAGAGAAACAGATTGACGTCAGCTTCTTCCAAGAGCTCGTTCAGGTAAATGACTTTTTTCTTTACTTTTTATGAATTAAAACAAGATCAGGTAGACACTTGCCATGGTTGAGCAGCTTGACTTAACCTACGTAAACCTATACATATGTAGTATGACAGTTGGCAAGAAGATCATAATCTTTATTGAGACCAAAATATAAAAACTGGTGTTTTTTTTTTTTTTAATCACTTTTTCAAGTTGAGGAAAGCCAAATCATGTATGACCTGATCAAAGACATGCAGGAGAACATCAACATGGAAAAGGTGGTCTTCAAGATCCTGAAGAGAATCAGCGCACTCATCCATGCTGACCGCTGCAGCTTGTTCATGTACCGGCAGAGGAACGGCATCGGAGAACTCGCCACAAGGCTCTTCAGTGTCAACACAGAGTCAGAGATGGAGGACTGTGTGGTGCCGCCAGACTCTGAGATTGTCTACCCACTGGACCTGGGAATAGTTGGCCACGTGGCCCAGACCAAAAAGACTGTTAATGTGAAAGATGTCAGAGAGGTAAGGGCAGAGTAGGTAAAATACACCAGTGAAACTTAAGCTTGGAGTTATGACGTCCTGTCTGGATGGAGAGCAGATGATAACTATCTCTACACTGTGGTCTGTAACTCCGTTTTAGTGGCGCTGCCACCAGGTGACACCACAGGGTTCACTTTTCAAACCATAGTGGCTTTAACTAGTAATTCATGTTTATCTTCTTAACAATGGAATTTTAGTTCAAACAGGCCAGATTTTGATGCCACTGTAGCTTTTTTTTTACTAAACTCATTAATTAAACATGACTCAGCCCCTTAAGAAGAGGTACTGCTGAGAGGTAAAACTGCAGTAGGTTCAAAGTTCAGAGTGTTTATTTTGTCATATGCACAGTTAGGAAACGTGTTTCCCTGTACAATAAAATTCTTACTTTGCCGTCCACATGAATGCCACAAAATACAAATGAAATATAAAGTAGATAAATAACACAAAATCTAAGGCACTTTAAGCAGCGCAGATGCAGCAATATAGTAGAAAAAAAATATACAAGAATATAACAGAATGTATGCTGCATGGGAGCAGCACTTGCAGCAGATTCATTGTGCAATTATGCATGTAGCACAAAATCTAGGACACTTTAGGCAACAACAAATGCAGCAATACAATAAAAGAATATAATAGAGAATGTATGCTGCATGGGAGCAGCATGTGCAGCAGTCAACAGTCATTGTGCAAT